CTCCTTATGCAGGAGCACATCCAGCCTGCACTGGCTGCCGATAGCATACTGGATTCATTTCAAGGTGCTGGTTTTAACCTTTAAAGCCCTATATGGTCAGGGTGCAGCAACTCTTCTTGAGCTTCCCCACATGTTCCCTGGAGAGCACTGCGTTCAGGGACACAGGATCATCTGACCCTCCCAGGCCTAAAGAATGCCAGGCTGGCAACAATCAGGGCCAGAGCCTTCTCAGCTGCAGCTCCATACTGGTGGAACGAGCAAGACGCTTATTGATTAGTTAATAACTTCTAGAATTAAGAATTAGGGGTGCCAACTTTTGTTTAGGAAATCCCTGGTGGTTTGGGGGTGAAGCCTGGGGGAGGATAGGGGTTGAGGGCAGCCATTTCTCCAGGGGGATTGAGATCAGTCTGGAGATCAGTTGCAATTCTGGGAGATCTTTAGGACCCACTAGGAGGCTGGCAACCCTATATTATCCTAGGGTAAGTTATTGGATCCTGGCCACCAGTCAGGACATTTTCGGGTCTGCATTATAAGGTAGAACCTAGGAGAGTACAGGAAACTATTGTTCTGTGAACGTCTGCCCTTTCAAAGAGAAGGAAGCCAATTCTGTTCCTTTCTCCCAAGGAGAAAATTCCCTGTTCCCATTCCTAAAAAACTGAGGGGGCTCCAAGATGGGAATCAAAGAGTCATACCATCTGTCCTTGCAAAAGGCTTGCAGACCTCCTGGAGTACCTTCACAGATCCCTAGGGACCAGGACTTTTGTCTGAGAAATACTGTTCTAGCACGGTATCTGAATTATAGTCAAGACAAGCACCGGAATGCCCCCACAGATCCATGACCACCTTCTCCCTTTCTGCAATGGCTGCCCTTTCTGGTGAACACAGGTAGCAGCACACACTGAGAAGGAAGCCCTCCACTTCTGCAAGAGGAGTGCAGCATGGTTACCGCCAGGGGTCATTTCCTGCAGGAGCGCACAGGAGCAGAGCTCCGGCAGTAAAGAGCCCAGGGGGCGGGCACATGCAACAAGCCCCACCCCCTTCTCCCAGCAGCCCTCAGTCAGAGCAAGAAGCAGCCAGGTAAGTTGCAGAGCTCCCCCCGGCTCCCTGGTCCAAAACAGTCCAGTGGCACCTTTAAGACCAAGTTTTATTCAGGTACAAGCTCTCCTTCCTCTGCAAGGACAGATCTGCACGTTCCCACCCCCCAATAGCTAGCTATCCAAAACAGTCCAGTGGAGCCTGAGCGGTGGGTGTTGCCTTCTGACACACTTCCAGTGATGTCATGGGGTGTGGTATATGCAAATAAGCTATGCTAATGAGCTCCTGCACTTCTTTTTCTACAAAATGACCCCTGGTTACCGCAATGCTTGATGGCTCGCTCTCAATCTCATTTTGTGTACTTTATGGCTTTATGCATGGCTAATCTCTTAAAAAAAATATAGTGTATGGGAGCATGGGATCAGATGGCACAGTGATCATTGAGTTTAGCAACTATGCTCAAATATTTGCATATGTCCCAAAAACTCACTACATTGTTGTAAGTAAATTTCTGAATGTCAGTCTAATCTCCCTCATAGTTGAGAGAATGAAAAAAACCACTTTGTTGCCCAATATGAAAAGTAATTGGAAATAGTATTTAAAATTCACTGAAAGACAATGATGAGCAGAATTATCATCTTTCTTTGTTCTTCAGGGGACATTTGAAATATCACATGCTGCCTATTTTGTGGAATTACTTTTGTCCTATCTCTTACAATCCATCCTATAGGGGAAAATATTGTACTATTTTAAGATGAGGAACACAAGTATGATATGCTGTGCCACTCCCCCACACAGTGAATCCAAGCATGTTTCTCCACAAATAGAGGAGTCCAAAAGGAGGTAACAGGAATAGAAATAGATTTGCTTTTATATAAGGAATGCTAAGTGCTCAGCTGGACAACAGATGAATTAACTTAAGTCTTTTATTTTCATTTTAAGCAGGTAGTTGCTTTATTGGGGGAAAGCGAATGATTTCAGAAGCACCCATTTAGAAGCATTACCCATCGTTATCAGCAAAATGTTATCTCTGATTTTTGTCTAAATTCTGTTGCCGTTCAGTAAATAGAAAACATATCACCAGAACAACCTGATTAAATGATAAAGGTTCCAAGTCATGTAAGGAGCTCTGGGTTATTTTGGTTTGCTTGATTTATAACTCAGTTTTTGAAGGTCATTTACTTGGGGTTTCCCTCTCAGGGACAATATAAAATATTAAAAAACCTGTATAACAGGGTTTGCAAATTTATTTTGGTATCTTCTTTCAGAACATCATATTTTCTGTCTTAAGTCAACACTTTCTACATCTGAATGTCTACTATGGCCTATCCTTTGCCTGTCCTGGAACGCCTTCAATCACAAAGGCCTGGAGATCTCCCATTATTACAACTGACCTCCAGATAATAGAGATCAGTGTCCCTGGAAGACATGGAGGGTGGACTCCATTTGCCTTGCTGAGCTCCCTCCCCTTCCCAAACCCCACCCTCCAGAGGCTCTTCCTCCCAAATCTCCAGGTGTTTGACAACCCAGAGCTGATAACTCTATACTTGTGACATTTTGCTAGGGTGAGTTCTTAATAAAAACTTTCCCTGCCAGACACTGCCCAAGGATTGGTCACTTTCTCACCTTCCCCAGTGAACTGGGCATCCTAGCAAGAATAATGTTCTGCAAAAGAAATCTAGCTTTAAGATTACCTCCATCAAAGCCTGTGGCCAATAAGTGAAATATAAGGTTATCTTGACAGAGTTATAACAATTTTTTTTTACAAGTGAACAAGAATGAAGTTTATTTGATATAACACAAGGTGAGGTAAATGTTAACAGATAACACCATTGCATCCTTTTTATTGAACTCTCAGGATTCATTACCATCCCTTTAGAAACTGTAGTATAAATATAATAGTAAAAAAAAGTTGATTATTGATGTAATTCAAAACAGACTTTTCTAAGTTCATTGAAGTCAATAATATCAGAATGGTTTAACTCTGCTTAGTACTGCACTGATATTCTTGTAAAAAATCCTTAAATTTATTTCATCTTAATGCATACTCTATTTCTGAAATCTGATCAACGTTTTGGAGGCTAGTTCTCAATCTACACGTTACGAAGTCCTCGTGTTTGTTGTTGAACAACACAAGGACTTTGTATCAAATGTGCAATAGGAGTATTGTGCTTCCCTGATGCACACAAGCTCTTTTCAGTTTGTGACCATGGAACACTGAGATAAATGGCTGTAGTGTCCCCATGTACCACTGTTTTTGCATCTGCAAACTGTGCCATAGAGCTGCTACTGACCCTGTTGTAAGCATGTTTTTTGCAATGGAGTTCTATGGAAAAGTCTGAGGACAAAAACAACAACAGTGGTGAGGCTATACTCACTTCTCCCTGTGTTCTGAGTTGCAAAATTCCACAGGCCCTGCAAGACAGAGCTCTTCCGCCAAGCGTTCGAGGTGCCACACTAAATGATTTACCATCTGGCTGAATATTGTGCCCTAGTATCTACTCTTGGCCACCGGCTTAACACCTATATCCACACTAAAAAATCTAAGCCCTACAGAGCCTGACACCAGGTCCTGTTTCCCTATGGTGGATGTGAAGACAGCTCTGCTATCTTATGACAGTTGTATTTTAAATGGTTTGTTGATTTTAAATTGTTAAGTTATTAATTTGTTTTATTGTTTTATTGTTTATAACACCTATGGCCTTGTTAGCTGCACTGAGCCTGCCCTAGCAGGGAGGGCGGGATATAAATCTAATAAATAAATAGTCATTATGATAATTTCATTCTTTATACTCCCAGTCTATCAACAGGAAATGTATTTTAAGGTAAAATTTCTGATTGTCCAATAATGTTTGTTCAAAGATCTTTTAGTTGCCAGGATAAAAAACTTTTAATGTGCAGGTAAGTGATGTTCTGGATGATTGCCTTTTCAGTATTATGTAGATACTGCTATTTTAAGATTTTCAGTTAAGCAAATAGTATCATAATGGGTGACCCCATTGCCATTTATGATTGATTGATTGATTATTTATAGTCTGCCTTTCTCACTAACATTCAAGGCAAATTACAAAGTGTAACACAATGCAATCAAGAGGATGGGACAATTACATCCATATAATGACCAAAACATTATATCTCCCAGTTTTTTTCAAACCGATATCTGTGTTTCAGGCAAACCCCATATCTCTTACAACTGATGTTAATGGAGAGGTAGCTGTGGCGGATTGATTACCACATTTGTCCCATACATATACATCTCATTAACAACCAGATTATCAAATTGATTAAAAAATTCTTCTTTCATGCTTCTCTAGCCATAAATAAGTAGGGTGATTTTATAAATTCTTGCTCAGTGGCCAGAAGATCTGTGGGCTCTAGGCATACTGAGATTAGTTGCAAGATCTGAACATTGCCTTAGAGCAGAATAGCCACAGGATGCCAATTAATGTCACCAATTTCTAACCAGCATCAGCTCACTGCTGGTGTTGGTGTCTTAAAATGGGACTGCCTGTTTACTGTATCAAGTAAATACAACATACTTTCCCACATATTTTCTGTTCAATTTACTTCTCTGTTGATTGTCATATAAAACAATAAAGTATAATATGAATGATAAAAAACCCAGTAGTATACTTGTCCTTTACAACAAATATACCTGAACATTTTCACAGATTATGGTATGTGATGAAGTGTGCATGTACACAAAAACTTATACCCAGAATTAAACTTTGTTGGTCCTAAAGTTGCCACTGGGCTCAAACTTTGTTCAACAATTCTTATGACAGTTTCTGGAAAGCTGACAAATTCATATTACTTTTCCTCTGACAGGTAAGAAAGGACTACTTGTATTTTCATGAAATGGTGTTCCAGCCTTCGAACAAAAGAACTAATTTATACTAAAATAGCTTCTGAGGATTCGTTTCGAATGCAAATAGCCTTAACTGGTTTTTCTTTTGTTTGTAAAGCCCCTGCCTCCTTGTCATGACTCAAAGGAATCTATGCAGGTGTTCAAACAGCACTGCCAAATAGCAGAAGAATACTATGAAGTCAAAAAGGAAATTGCTCTTCTTGAAGAAAGAAAGTGAGTTTATGTTTCTCCTAAAGAACCAATAGTAATTTGTCTGTCATGTGCTCAAAAATAATACTAATTCAGAGGGTGTTAAAATTCAATTCTGGTTTTTAAAAAAGAGATAGCTTTGTTGTTTTCCTTCCAAGTGTGTTCTTTCCAGTTTTCCATTTCCTCTATCTTCATACGTTGTAAAATTATAGGTAGGACCTGTCTTAATATTGAGGAAACTCTTAAACTCTTATAGTAAATTGTTATCTTGTCAAAAACTTATATTTTATTGTACAGTGGAAAGTAATTCACCAAGAATCTGTGTCAAAGTATTTGAAATGTTGAACAGGACATTTTTCTGGGATAAAATTGTTAACTGTACTAATAGCCATAAAGAAACTTATAAAATGTTTGCTGATAGGCTTGACTGATTCAATAAAAATGTAGTAAATTATATCAGTGTATTCCAGAAGAGTCTATAGAGTAAAACATGTGATAATCTGGCTGCGTGAAACTGAGGTGAGAGATCAGCAAGCAGTCATAGATATAGCTATCAAATGCCAAAGAATCCATAAAATTGCTATGAGGCCCTAGTGATCTTTTTCAAGGTAATCAGATCTCACCACATTACTGGGGGGTGTTGATGGAAATGTTCTCTTTCTCTGCATACATACATGCATATGTTTGTGAACTGATTTGTAACAGTAATAGATTTGAAGAAATGGAAAATGGTATCTTGCACAACAGTAAATATTTGAATTTCTTCACTAGAATAGTTTTATTGAATAGGGGTTTGCACGGAAAAAAATATGGTATTTTTCAGGTTCAGGTAAATCAAACCCGAAAAATCTCGATAAATACCGATATTCCCGAATCCCAGTGTCAGTATTATACTGGGCTTCAGGAAATACTTGACATTGCTGAAAATATTCGGCTGGCTATTAGAGTGTGTCAGTTTCATTCCCCCTCCACTTCCAAATTGACCCGATTTCCCTCCCTGATAAGGTATTTTTGGGGCATTTTGCCCTTTGCTGAATGCACATTCCCAGGGCTATTTTTGGGCAGGAACGCACAGGAACGGAGTTCCGGCTGGCTCCCAAGTTGGCCACGCCCAGCAGGAACTCATTATCATAATAGGCCACACCCAACAGCAGAAACTCATTAAGATTGGCTACATTAGGGGTGTGTGGCCTAAGATGCGAAGGAGTTCCTGCTACAAAAAAGCCCTGGGTTTTGACAACAAACAAGGTAAACAGAATAACAAGCAAAAGGTGGGTGTGGCTGGATAACCACACTTCAGGTAACATGGGGGTGCGTCCTAATGTGCTAATGAGCTGAGCTGTCAGGGGTGTAGCCCAATATGCTAATGAGCCTGCTGTTGGGTGTGGCCTATTATGCTAATGAGTTCCTGCTGGGCTTTTTCTACAAAAAGAGCCCTGCACATTCCTAATATCAAGTTCACTAGTTTATATACATTCATTTATAATCTGCCTTTCTTTCTGAGATGCAAGGTAGATTGCTAAATTTAAAAAAAACGTAATGAAAACATAGTAAAGTGATAAAGGTAGATTACAAAACTTAGAAAACAATGTAAGAAAATAAGTATATACATTCTAAACAGTGCAATAAAAATGGCAATTTTAAAACATGTAACATTTTTCCCTTATAGAATGCCCTCTTGAACAATTCCATTTGACACATCCTATTTGAGACTCTCCAGAATTTTTCAGCCTCTGCTTTTTAAAATGTATTTTCACTGTTCTATGCACTAGATCTATGTTATTTGCTCTAGGGATGTGTCACTAATTGTGGTATGGTAGTGGTTAGCATGTCATATTAGGACCTGGCAGGGGCAATTGGCAGTTAAGGGTATCGGAAAAAATCTTGGTGGACTGATGGGATCTGCCCTTGAGACCTAGGATACTAGTATTCAATCAGTTCACTGGCTGTATAGACAAGTCAAGAGACAGAGTATAATTTACTTCACTTGGTTATTGTGAGGCTAAAAGGGGAGGGAACTATGTACACTAGGTAGGATAAAAATGAAATAAATCACAACAGACCTAAAACTGCACCACTGTCAAGCTGCACATTAAGCAGCCACTATTACTGAGTACTATAATAATGTGGCCAGGACTGTCATTCTACAGCAATTTCTGCTATTTCAAATATCTTGGTAGCAGTTGCTTATGTACAGCTGGCTTAAAGTATAGCACTCTGTGCTTTAATCAGAGTTCACACAGACACAGCTATAGATGTTTAGTTTTGTTTTCTTATATATGATGCTGACACCTGTCAAAGTTGATTAAGAAATGCAGCTTCATCTGTGTAGTTTTTCTAGACCTATCTGTGTTCACCACACTATTAATCTGTCACCATAAAATTTATGAGCACTTGGCTTTCATCTTGTATGTCATTGAAAAAACAGAGAAGACTCCATGTCTAGTTCTTGCTTGCTCCACTCTCCATACCTATTCTCCATCATCAGTCACAGTGCAACCCACCCTTAAACTACCTGCGGTTGTAGGGCAAAAAATTAGAACCATAAAGTTAAAATTAAAACCATAAAAGTCCTCATAGAGGAACATAGCCATTTAAGGCAATATGGTAAATGTGAACCCCCTGCTGTTTTAGCAATTGGAAATTAACTAATCAAAACCCAAACTGAATCAGTCCTTTCCTTAAATCTGTAATCTCTGTTTTTAATGACTGTAATACTTTTCACCACTGCACAAAATGAGAGCAGCGGGAAGAGAAGCAAGCACGACTCAGTAGATAATCTAAGTGACCGGGGGGGGGGGGGGTCCCCCAAAGCAAATGGGTCAGCCCCTCCAACTCAAAAAGTTGACAAATGTTCCTGCTAAAGAAGTTCATTCAAGACCAGACTAGACTCTATGGTAGCCACTGGTCCGACCCAAGGCCACCAATGCCATTTTAGAGGAGAAGTTAGCTGTTTAAAAATTGGTGCAAGAGGCCCACGGCATGACAGCACCATGAATCTTACCCCCTCGCGCACATAGTCAAATGCCACAACATCCGCCATGTGCGTTTCAACACTTGAAAAGAGGTGGGAGGGAGGAACAAGCACACATGGTGCTGCAGCAATTTTTAAATGACTAAATTCTTTTCTAAAACAGAGTTGGCAGCCATGGGTTGGACCTGTACCTACTGTAACATCTAGTTTGGCTCTAAAATAGTCAGCATTTCCTTTTCTAATTCTTGCTGTCTCTCAGTAGCCTAGGGAGGACTTTCTCAGTTTTATATTAGTAGCAATTTATCCTATTCACTTGCTGTTCCATTCTCTGGCTGCTCATGGCCACATTTTTTTAAATGTCCGCTTGTGGATCTGTAGTAGAGAGAAAATGTACATTAGTTGGCATGTCTTCTGCCTACTGTGCAAATGAGATGGTTAATTGTCTATAAAATAAGGCATTTTTCTCTAATGTAATTTGAAATCTGACAGGCAGGAGGTTTCCTTGGGTGAGGGAGGGTATGATCCCTGAAAAAGTAATTCAAATTGGATTAGAGAAAAAGTACACAGAAAAATGTGTTTCTCATTTAAAATGAATGGAAACAAAGAATAGAATAAGGGAAATGAACAGATAAAATAACTCTAACAAAGAAAAATAATATACTTTTACTACTATGATTAAAAAAAATTAGTGCTCATCCTTGGTTTTATCACAATTTAGATAGGATTCTGGATAAAATTTGCCTCCTGCCCATTTTGAGATTACTATACCATCAGAAGTAATATCAAAAGTTGTAGCACAGATATCAGAGGGATCCAGGCTGACAGCAAAGTTTCCACCAGGCACTGATGTCTTCCTTGGAATAATTGCAGGTGGTCTTAAAGGCAGTGATTGCAAGTATATATCTCAGGTCTGAATACTCCTTTGTATAATTTAAACTTGTTTATCTGTAATAATCCTTCTCTTAATCCTTTTTAATAGGATTTATGATGTATTATCAGAATGAATGTCTGAGCAGACTGAGGAAAGAGTTGTTTATCACTTGTGCAATCTTGGCATTCTTGTTTTATGTGTCTAAGCCCACAAACAGGCTACACAAAGATCACACCTCTCAATCAATCCATCAGGTGCTGATTACAGACTTGTGTAGCCTCCATTTGCCTTGGGGGTAGTGCAGGGAAAGGAGAGGGGACTTAGCCTGTCAAGCACTACTGGGTTCATTAGTTAAAACCTCATTTTAAAGGAGAAATGTCATACTTAAAAACACACCTTTTCTCAGTGGATTTTTTTTAAATAATAATAATTATTATTATTATGATGATGATGATCCGAGATTAGCGGTCAAGAATATTAACAATACATAATACACATTGGGTGTAGAAAATAGATATTCTGTACAGAAATGTGGCTGCGGTGGCTCAGAGGTTAAGACACTGAGCTGTAGACCGGAAGGTCTGTAGTTCGGCAGTTCAAGACCCTAGTACCACATGATGGAGTGAGCTCACGTCTCTGGTCCAGCTGAGCAGTTCTGCATATAACAGTGTGAAGATTTCCCATATTGGGTGGATGGAAGTCAGGCTTGGATAAAATTTGCACCATGGAGTTTATATAGAAGTTAAATAATTAAGGGAGCAAGGATGCATCTTTGTTTCACAACTCTCCTGATTGGAACCATGTGGGACAGATGACCTTGTGGGTTACATCTCACTGACAATTGTTCTCATGTAGTGTGTGTATAAGGGCAAGCAGTCTGCAGTCTATTGTGGAAGCTTCTACTAATCTGTTGTGTCAGATATTATCAAATGTCATCTTATAATCAACAAAGGCTGTGTAAAGTGTGCCATGTGGCCTGATGGTATATTTCTCCACCAGATGATGCAGAATCAAGCACTGATCCATTGTGAAGTGACTGCTTCTGAATCCTTCTTGTTCCTCAGCAAAGATGTTCTCCCTATCAAGCCAGTCCCAAATCTTCCAGCAAAGCAGACTAATTGGGCATTAATTGAAAGGGTCTGATTTCACCCTTTTTTAATATATCAGAATGATGATGGCCAGACCCCAATCTCTGGGGATCTGTACAGTTTGGTCAATGTATGTGAAAGGAGTGGTGCTCACCATTCGATATCCATTTTGATCAGCTCCAGAGGGGTCAGATCCTGTGGCCTTCCCCAACCTTAACTGAGCCCCAAGCCGCTTGGCTTCTGCAGCTGAGATTGGAGGCCAGGGTGGGAGGTTTTCCGTATTAATAGGTGGAGGGGACAGCCTGTCAGGCTCTGCGGCATAGAGTGCATAAAAATGAGTTCCCCAGGTTTTTGCGGGTATCTCACAGGAAGGTTTTTGGGCATCTGATTGGAATCCACCTGAAACAATTATCCAAAACAGCGAGGCTTCTTTGGATTTGGCGGCCTGGCTAAGTTGGAGCCAGACCGCTTTTTCTCTCTTTTTCTTTTTAATTAATTTTTTTGTATTGTTGTTTTAAAACATATAAGTCAGAAAGAATTATACAGATATTCTGTGGCTTATATTGAGTAACCTTTGGTGTTAATTGTTTGCTGACAAACATTCTGATCGAGCCATGGTTGTGTGGAGTGTCTTACTCTTGGGGGCTCTTGGATGGGTTTGCTTTTAGTGAACTGTTCTTGCCATCCATTAGATATTTGTAGATAACACTCTAAGATGGCTTCAAAATGCATGCCATTGATCATTTTGCTGTGGAGGTGGCACAAAACCTCATTTTAAAGAAGAAAAGATATGTCCTAATTAAAAACCTATCTTTTCTCCTTAAATTGTTAATAACAAAGTGAGGAGACCAGTTTCAAACAGCAAAACCAAGCAGTTGGCACCCCCTTTCTCTTCTCTGTATGGCTTTAAAACTGCAGGACTAGTGATTTGCATTTTATAGACAGATCTATGAGGCAATACTTGGATTCTGAGTAAACTAGATTGCTGGGCAAAATCAACTATTAGGCTGGTTACATGGTAGAGAAGGCCAAAGTCAAAGAATGACTGTAACTGAGACATATGAAGGTGCTATTTTATACTCCTTGTATAACCTCCTTATTATTTTCCTGGAAACCTGATGACTGCATGCCTATATGGCATTAGGATAGTGGCCAGGTTTCTAGGTAAAGAAATTTAAAATACTGGTCCTTTGTGACAGACAGCCTCTTGTTTTGACCGCTAGGTATCACAGCAAATCCCTGCCTACAGGTGCCATACACAGATTCTCAGCAGCATCTGTCAATGAGAAACTGTGGAACCTTGGGGGTAAGGAAATTCTGTCATTACTTCAGATAGGGTGTGGGAAAGCAAAAAAATATGGAGAACTCCCAGGAGAATAGTTAAGTAGTTAGGCTTCACCAGGTGAAGAAAAAGGTCTCAGACATCCATTGTTTATATACAGATGGTTCAGGGGCCTATCTAAAGGCAGTAAAAGAGCAAGTATACTCTTTTATCTTTGGGAAATAGTGATTTATGAGGGGACTGAGAGCAACATCCCAAGAAATAAGCTAACATTATGTCAAGGTTTTGAGATTCTTGGGTTTAATGAGAAACTCTAAGAAAAATCCTTCTCTCTCTCTCTCTCTCACACACACACACACGCACACACACACACACACACACACACAGGAACAGCCTGTTATTGCTGTGTATGTGTGAAATGTACCTTTTCTAGAGCATAGCTTCTGCTCTCCTCCCTTACATAAATAGCTGATAGCTTGCTACATTACTTAACATCCATCAAATCGCTAAGCAGAAGCCCTTCTGAAGAAGAGTAATGAGCTTATTTTTTGTGTTTACATGTGGCATTTCTTTGGAACCTCACACACGGTTTTTTCTTTCGTCACCAGAAAGGAGCTGATTGCTAGGTTGGATCAAGCTGAGGAAGAGAGCATGGATGCTGCTCAGCTAGCAAAGGAGTATTCAGACCTTACAGAAGAGAACCGGACACTGAAGTTGGCCCAGACACAATGTGTTGAACAGCTGGAGAAGCTTAGAATACAATATCAGAAGAGACAGGGATCTTCGTAACTCTGAATGGATCTGTCTGGATCAATAAAAATCTAGGGTCTTTTCAGTGTTGGGCAATTGATTTGTCTCCCCCCCCCCCAAAGGTTCCCACAATATGTTGGAACATTTCACTTGCAGAATATGCAAATGTCTAAATTTGATGTAATGCTTGCCAGCCACTAGCTTAATATAATGGATATTTTATCTGTTATATTATTTCGAGAAAAATAATTAGGGGCTTATCTATTCCAATTATTTGTTCTAATGGATTAGATTTCTTTTACATTTTTTTTTTTTCAATTTAAGAAGGCACATTCACTAGAAACTGATATGAATATTCTCTGGGATGGAAAGCGGACCACACTAAAGCATGTAGCAGGAGTACTGTACATGGAACACTGGATCATTGCCCTGTTCTTTTCTAACCCGGAACAGAATGTGGTAGAAAATCTAGACCCTTTATTTGGCAATATATGCTACAGAATGACTATACACTGACCGAGAAAAATTGGCAATGAAGATTTGTACAACTATAATACTGTAAGAAAATGGGAAAAGGCAAAAATAGCCTTGTATCATCTAATCCCACACCAATCTTAAATTTACCCTTGGAAGTAAACCCCATTGATTTTAATGAGCTTGTTGAGAATCTGGGATACCAGTCCTAAGGAAGATGAACTCCTACTGATATTAGTAGGACTTACATGGTGTTATTAGTCTGCTCAGACGTCTACTGAAATCTTTCTGTACAAGGAGGCACCCTCAGTTTTGAGTCAGTGTATGCTGCCTTTTACCTGTGCTTCCATGTAGTCAGCCATTCGTGTGACTGTTGGTATCATGCACAGACTAATTTTTTTACATGCAATCTCATCTGTGGCCTTCCAGTATGCTCAGCTACAATAGTGGCTGACTTGACTGAAGAAGCTGCACGTATGACTGCATGATTAAAGATCACCGCATTCCGATATGGTAAAAAAAACAACCCACAGCTGCCACATGCAAACAGTGTTGTGAGAAACAGTTCATGCATATACATTTTATTGATTTTATTATTATTTATTTAGGACACATTTATACCACTTCTTCGGAGTCCTGCAGGAGGCTGCTTTCAAGTAAAAAGACCATAAAATGGTAAAATCATCTTCAATTATTCATCACAAAACAAACAATTAAAACAAGCCAGGAATCTAAAAATTACACAACAATGTTAATAAAACAGGCCTCTGACCAGAAGCAACCATAAAACAGTGGAAAAGATAAAACTACTTAGTTAAAAGGCTCGATAAGAAGAAACGCTTCCTAAAGGATAAGGAAAAAAATGTTTTAAGAAGAAGATAAAAAGAAATGTTTTAAGTGGCACCTAAAAGACTGTATGGTAGGCTCCAGGTGAGGGTATTCCAAAGGTGAAATGCCACCACTGAAAAAGCCTCATCTCTAGTTGCCATCAGCCTCATTTCTGAAGGTGGGGGAACAGGGAACAGAGCGTGAGAGGGAAATTTTACCTGGTGAGAGGGACTATATCCATATTGTGTTCTGAAGGTGCTCCTCCCTCCCTCCCTCCCTCCCTCCCTCTCTCTCTTTCTGCAATTTACAGTGCAATCTTAAACACAGTTGTACCTAATAACTTCATGGACTTAGAAGGATTTAACTTTATTTAGGACTAGGAAGCAGGCCCGTTGTAGCAGTGAAGACAATGGGCGCTAGCTCGGCCGCTTGGCACCCCCCCTTCCCACTGCCCTCCCAGCCGCCTGAGTCCCTGGCGGGCCACGGCTGCCAGAACCCCCCCCCCCCGGCTGCCTGAGGGGCTGCCGGGCCAAGGTAGGCGGCCTCGTTTCTGCCACCACAGCCATGCGATGGAGGCGGCGGCGGGCCAAGGCAACTGGGCTTGTCCCTCTCCCCCGGCTGCTCGAGGGACCAGCGGGTCAAGGTGCCCGGCCTTGTCCTCCCCACTGCCCGCTCAATGTAGTGGTGTGGGTGCATCAGGGAGGGAGGGCGTGGTGCTGCAGCTGGCTGCCTGACAGCAGTGGTCATAGGTGGAGTGGTGGGGGGAGGAAGGCAGTGTGGGTCCCGTTTGCGCGGTGGCAGCATGATGCATGGCTCGCCAGCTCCGACTGAGTGCCGCACATCATGTTGGAGCGGTGGCGAGCAAGGGAGTTCTTGTGGGAGCTGCAGCGTGAGAAAGCCAAGTGGGGTACGAGGGCTGGGTCCGCGCTGTCGGCTCCCTGGCAAGCTCCCCGGCTCGAGGGGTGGTGGAAGGGGTCAGCACAGTCTCCATGGGCAGCTGGGCAGCGTCAGGGCCACCTCGAACACTCCATGGGCCAGAGGGGCACCAGTCCCTGTGCGGGCATAGGCCGGGTGGCGAGGCAGTTGGTGGCAAGAGCATCCATCCCGCCCAGCAGCTCCCTGGAGACTGAGGGCGAGTCGCTGCCCGGTGGGTCTGTGGGCGGGACGGAGTCAACGGAGGGAGGCAATGCAGGCAGGGGATTGGCCCTCCTCCTGAGCGACAGACCCAGGACCCAAAGGCTGGGAAGGCGTGTGGAACGTCTCACACAAAAACTCCTTTATTATAAGGAGAGATTGCATTGTTATATAATGCTAAATATGAGGTTTATGCAGTGGGTACAATCTAATGCTTCACTGGGGATGGACTGAGGATGGGTGAGGTATCTCTGTGTGGGGTGCATGGACATATTTAAGATCGACTGTGCAATCCTAAATAGTTAGTCCAGTCTAAGCCCATTGATTTCAGTCATGTTAGCCTGGATTAACTTTGCATAGGATTGCACTGTAAATTGCCAAAACCAATGTGCCTTATGACTGTTCGTTGTGATTACTTTTATATATCATAATGACCTGAAATTATAAATCTACAGACATGCCATTTTTAATTTCTTTTTGTTTTCATATATATCCATTGGGAGCTTTTTAGTCTTTTCTATTTTCTTTTTCTTTTTTAGTTCTCCCACTGTGCTCCCTTCTTTTATAGCATTTAATGCTATTTTAGTCCAGTTATAGATGCAAAAAACGGGTGTCAATTTTATTAATTTTGTTACTTTAGTTGGGAAAAGAATTATCAAAACTTCCTACTACACACTGAGAAATCCAAAAAGGAACTCTAACTTTTAAACTGCATGAGGATAGCCACAAAATTTAATAACACCCTTACCAGAGTGATATGTGCTACATCTCAAGCAATTTTAAAATACCACTTTGTGTTACTCCATCCCTTCCATCCCTAAATAGTATCTTAAATTTATGTCTTGAATATTCAAACAGTTTTGAGCACACTTGCTTTTCAGTGAGGCCTATCTAAATCAATGGGGCTTATTTCCAAGCAAATATAGTTAGTATCAGGATGTTAACATTGTTATCTTCCTGGCATGCAATAAATGGGAAAAAGTAACGGTAAATTATTATAGTTCCATAACTGGCAGTGAACAATATTGGTTACTTCATTTTGGCACTCAAGTTGGAATGAATTTGTAACATATATTGATTCTGGTTAATGCATTTAAGTTTATGCTGTAAAAATATATGACTATTTCCATATCCTGATTAATCTTCTAGGTGAAACAGCTGGGCAAAATATGACTTTAAGAATACATAATCTGCAATGATTTCTCCCCTCCTTTGACTGATAACTGTGTTTCCTGAATCAGCAGG